AATTATTTGTAAACAACATTCTGTCTCAGAGCTCGGTATGGAGTTACAGAAAGAGCTGAATGTAAGCCAGACCAGGAAGAAGTGAGATTAGTTTATAGGAAACAGACCCTGTTCGCTCAGACTTCCTTAAACAAAGTTTGCTGACTGGGGTCACAGACCAACGAAGATAAAATAATGATAACAAAATAAATGTTTCTGCTTGATCTCCGCTGCTTACGTATGCCTGCTATGTAAAAAATGTAATGAAACAGTCTTTCATCTCTGTGTAAGCTCATAAGCTAATGCTTTGCCTTATATTTTCGCAGAAACGATTTGCATCCCATGTAAAGCATTAGCAACAACCGAATTCCCCTGGCAGGATGGTTGGGCTGTACTGCTTGGGCCACCCTCTCTGGAACTCTCCTGCCGCTTAGACTTAGTAAACTCTCCCATGTTCTTTGCAACTTTCTCTCTTCCACAGCCTTTCTATTTCTTGCAAAGTGGAGGAGGTCATGCGTGGTGCAATGAATCATCAGTGTGGTGGGGTCTGGTGGGGCCAGCTGGGATATCACACCTAGGTCGCTGGCTGTCCTTCCTTTAGGCAGCTTGGGGATGCCAATGAGGTGTCCTTCTGCATGCTGATGTCTCATTTGTGCCTGCTTTTTCCATAGCCCTCCCATGCTAAGGACGTGAGGTGCACAGCTGGGCTCGTGGGGTAGCAATTGCTGCTGAGCAGCTCTACGGTCCTCTCCTTACCCCATCTTCCACCCTGAGGAAACAAGAGTGGGCTCCAGTCCTGTGTCCTAAGAGGCTGAGGGAAGAGGTGGAGGACCAGAGAGCCCTGGCTGTGTGCCCCTGCCTCCCCACTCTTTCAAATGGGAGATCTTGTCCCATCCTGTGCCCCAGAAGGGGAGCTGGGTCTCTGACAGGTCTGGGTAGTCACAGATACAGATATTTGAGTAAGTCTTCTTCCTCCCCTTTCCAGTCTCGCTCTAGCTCCAACTCCTAGGTCTTTCTGCTGCAGCTTGCGCAGCTTTCATGGGGTGTCAGTCGTACATATCAAGGCTGTTTTGTTTAAAGGTGCTTCTTGTAGGCCGTCACATACCCTTGAGGAGGGAAGCATGAGAAGGTAAAATGCGTCTTGAAAAATGTGCAGCATGGCCAAACCTGGATGGAATTTCATGAGATAAAGAAAGGACGCTTCTCTGTCTGAATTTTGAAAGCCTGCTGGAAACAGTGTCATTTGAGCTTCTCAGAAAAAAATTACAGGAATCCTCCTTGAAGGAAAATGCTAAATCTAATTATAGGAGAACCTACCAGTTCATCTTGTACGTCACTTCACTCCGTGCTTGATCTGTTGCAAAGTTACTATTGGTTCCATGAGACTTGATACAAAACTTCCAAAAATAAGCAAGCATGAGATCTTGCCCTATTTTTCATTTCTGTTGTATTTTACGGTGAAAGGAGACAGGCAGTAAATTATTATAAAATCCATCTAAAATGAAGCACCACAGAGGGTGCTTGAAGGGGATTGTGCTGCAGCGTGATCACCCACTGCTCACTTCCATTTCCTTTGATCAGGATTTGCCCACTGAGTCAATTTTGCCAATATTCCTTAAGTCATACCGAGGATCACGAATTTTATTGTCCATCTTTCATATTCTTTTCAAACCTCATTCTTCAGAAAGTTAATAGTACTAAGCAAAACCATACTTAGCATTATTGAAAAGTAAAAGCAAAACATGAGTCTAAATTATGGGAGTAGCTGAGTGGACTGTATCCTACTGACCGATGCTTTTACCAGCAAAAAAGCTCTTTTCACTCTACAAAATATCTCAATAGACTGCTTAAAAGTTCATCTGCCTGTCTTAAAATCTGGAAAAAATCATATATAGAGATCTAGTTGTGGGATGGTAATGGTGGAAAGGGAGAGAGAGAGAGATGCTTGTTCCCTTGGTGAACAGTACAAAAGGCCTTCAGAGGGGCATTTCTCAGAGGACAGAAGATGCTGCGTGTCAAGGAAAAAGTGAGAGGCTGCCACAGAAAAGCAGCGATCAAGGCGGGAAACCTTTCTTCTACAAAGCGGCGCCGCACTTCATTCTCTGGCAGAGAAAAGAGTAGAGTTATGGACCTCTTTCAGAGGTCTGGAGTGGTGAATCCTCCAAAGCACAGCTTCTATTCCTGCAAAAGAAATAAGTTGTTCTGAATACAGCGGTAGAAGAGAGGAAAATAGTTCCTTGTTGGCCCATAACTGTCAAGCCATAAAAGAATTTTTGAGCTGAATTGTGGCAGGTAATGCAGACTCTGAGGAGGGGAGGGGGAGTAGAAGAAAAACAAGCTTACATCAAATTATGGGCTCCTTCATGTGTCATGGGAATGAGGGGATTTTGGGGACAGGTAGGTGAAGCTGCCTGGAGAGCGGGTATGTGTAAGGTAAACTTTTCATACTCAGTGCCATCGTAAGCTCATATTTTAGAGAACAATGAAAATGCCCTTGTCACATATTTATTTGTCTTGCATTTCAAGCAAAGTATTTGGTATTCTCCTGTTTAATCATTTTTTTCTACAGTCTATGAGACAGCCAACACTAGTGATAGCACAAGTAAAACAGAAGGGTTCCTAAAGTAAAATTTATTTGTTTTTCATCCCCCATGAAATATAACTCTCCACATCCAAAAAATGAAAAACAGTGAGGGATCTGTTCTCCCCTTTCTGCACACATGTAACTCCATTTTGCAGCAGCAAGGATAACGCACACCCATTAACTCTTTGAAGGCCTGCCTCTTGCACGTTACCTAAGATTGTGGCTGCTTTTAGATGGATGCACTTATGTCATTAGGAAGTTGCATTTTTTAGTGCAACTTAATATTACTGGTGTCTTTATTTTTGTCAGAAATTTCGCTATATGACTGTAGCAGCAATGTTTAATTTTCTGTAGATAGAGCTACTGTTCTGGTGGGGGAAGAGAAGGGGAAGCTACAAGAGAGTTGCACCCAGCTGCAACTCCAAGCAGTGCTAACGGAGGGCAGTAGAAATCTTTGAGCCCCTTTTAGTAAACCAGCCCCTTTTAGTACACCTGCCTGTTTTCAGAGGTCGAAACAAAACCACAGTCGTGTTGTAAAACTAATGGAATTGTTTCTGAAGAGCTTTAGGGTTCACCAGGAAATGGTGCAGTGAAAGTTAAAAGCAATATCGTTACTGATTTTCACCCTGTGGTAATTTTGGGCCACGTGCACTTCGAAATAGTAGGAGAATAGAAATATGAAATGAAGTCAGAGTAAGAACGTAAATGCACTGCAAATTTATGTAATAATTTGACTTTACATATTAATATTTATTCTTGCTCTAATATTCAACCAGGAAAGAAAAGATAATCTTAAAGTTGTATTAACTTTTTACTACTAAATTTTGCCTCTGAAAGAAGATAATTTTTTTTGGCCTGGCTCTGTGTGTTATTTTCCGTTTTCCTCAGCCTCCCACACACTAATGACTTGTGCATGGAATTCTCTTACCCTATGAATATATTTTCTTTTTAAGCCCAGTCTCCACAGAGGTGGAAAATGTGAATGTGAAATGAAGCTTCCCATCCTCAAAGAAGGTTAAAGACCTAGGAACGTGTACAACTCTATCCTGAAAGTCAGTTTGTTAAGACATAATTTACAGAAGTTCAGTTGCACAGGCATAATTTTACATTACTTTCAAGATGAATACTTTTATACCTTCAGGCGTGCGATTTGTCAAGGCAGCTTTGTGGCCTGGTGGGCAATCAGAATTTGCCTTGGTGGACTGAAATGACCCAGAACAAACTCAGTACTTAATCTTCCTTATTGTTGAAATCAATAAGCAGATCCATGCTAAGTGCTGACAGTTCTTATGCAGGGAGTGAAAAGTAGCAGTATCTGCTCCTTGGACCTCGAATGTTTTACGGGCCATGAGTTTTGACTTGTTAATTTTGTTTCAGAACATATAAATTAGTATGAGGTATTTTCTTTGTGCTAATTCGTACATGCAATGTTGCAAGATTAACTTACCTCAGATGCCATCGTCCACAGTCACTGGAAAATACCCACCTAGATAATGAAGCAGGGACAGTGGGCTCTGGCAGAGCCAGATCATCCAGGTGAGAGGAGCAGTTAGGGTTGACCACACTGGATCACAGGCTACCCTTCTGGAGGCCCCCATCCTAAATAAGGGTCTCCTCCCTTCTGTAAAATAGTGGATCCTGAATATATTCACCAAGGGGCTTTTTGAAGTTTTTTAAGGTAAGGAATATGCCAAAAAACTTGCGTTAGTTTTCCCAGGGCTGTATTTTTTGATTACCACACAACAGCTGATTTCCCCGGCATTTTCATGTAACACTTGCAATTACAACTTGTCCTGGAAAGAG